GGGTTTATAGGGTTTATAGGGCTTTATAAGGCTTTATAGGGCTTCATGACAGATCTAGATGCTTTCAGCTTGAAGCCCCAAAAAGCCTTGACCCTATAACCCCTGAAAAGGCAAACCCCGCAACAGGTGGGAGGCAGGGGTTTCGACAACCTCGTGCATGTCTGAGATCAGCCGTAACTCAATCAAGGGTCCTTATACCTGGGGTGGCCCTATTTTTCACCATGCTTGACACCCACTAAGGCTCACATGCGCAGTTCGCTGAGCCACCAAGTAATTAGATAGTTGGGCCAGCCTAGAAGTTAAGATTACGCTTTGGGAAAATTCAAGTGCCCCCCAAAAAAGAGTTAAAGCTACCTACTCTACTAATACGTTAAGCACTCAACCCTAAACCCCAAAGCCTAATGTAGGGGCATTACTAATTACCTATAATATTTTGGGGGGTTCCTTGATATAATTACAGTAAAACATTCCCAAAAAATCCTATTCTAGTTATTAAGGCCCCTATATTAGGGTTTAGGGTGTGGTTCTATAGGATGTTACCCCAAAGCCTAAATCCACACCACTGGCCTCCAAAAGCCGTCCTCTCGCAGACGCCGAAATCTCCGGAAGGGCGAGCACGTTGACCTCGCAGCGATCCGAGGAGGGCTGAGCCGCTGAGGGCGGGGCCGCCTCGAACCTCAACAGTCCTACCACTGTTTCGGGTTCTTACTTCCCCAATAAGGCAGGGAAATAAAAGGTTAAACTTTCAGATTACTACTAAATTGTAAGAACCCAAAAAGTTTAAAGGTTGGGTATTGGAGAACTAAGGGTTTAGGGTATTAGGGTATTAGGGTATTAGGGTTATTAGGGTTTAGCGTCTTATTAGGGTTTAGGGGTTTAGGGGTTTAGGGTTTAGGGGTTTACGGGTTTAGGGTTTAGGGTATAGGGTTACTGTAGGGGCCTTAAGAAATAGGAGCGGGACCACAATCATTCGAATAGGTTTCGAATGGGCTGGGCTTTCAAGGGGGTCCTGGCAGAAAACCGCGTAGTGGCCACCCTTATAGAAAGCCTTATTATAGAAACCCTAAGTCCTAAAGTCTCAAAACTACATCCTACTAAACCCTAAATCCTAAACCGTTTATCAAAACCCTTATAGAAAGCCTTAGCGACACCCTAAACCCTAAACCCCTGAACCCAAAACCCCTAAAGCCTAAAGCCTAAACCCTAAATCCTAAACCCCTTACACCGGAAAACCGAAACCCTAAACCCCTAAACCCTGAACCCCTACACCCGAAACCCCTACACCGCTAAACCCCGACCTCCGAACCCTAAATCCTAAACCCCTTAAGCCCTAACCCCTAAACCCTAAACCCCTAAACCCCTAAACCCCTAAAGCCCTAAAGCCCTAAATCCTAAACCCCTACACCCCTAAACCCTGAATCCTTATACTAGCCCTTATACTAACCCTTATAGAGCCTCTTAAGAACCTTTTAAAAACACCCCTAAACCATAAATCCTAAACCCCCAAAAGCCTAAACCCTAAACCTCTAAACCTGGCCCCTATAGTATAGACCCTCTTAAGAACCCTTTAGAAACACAAAAACCCCTAAAACCGTTAGAGCCCAAAGCGCCCCAAAGATGCCCCGCGACGAGCCTCGTGGGCACTCCTCGCTCGCACGGACCGGACCCAGGCCTTGTGGAAGTCAGCGGTGTAAGGGTTTAGGGTTTAGGGCGGTTTCGGGGTTTTGGGGGGGTTTAGGGTTTAGGGTTTAGGGCGGTTTCAGTGGTTTTGGGTGGTTTAGGGTTTAGGGTTTAGGGCGGTTTCGGGGGTTTTTGTTGGAGGGCTTTAGGGTATTTTGGGATTTAGAGTTTTTTGCGGCTTTAGGGTTTGGGGATTTAGGGGTTTAGGGTTTGGGGGTTTAGGGGTTGTAGTAATTATTTAGGCCCCTATATTATTGTGATGAAACCCCTTCAATTTCTTCTCTCAAGCACTAGGTCGATTGAAATTACAGCTCACCCCTGGATCCTAAACGCACACCCTGCGCTCCTCCCAAATTCTTCAATTATGATATGCAGCCTACACATTAGGATACAGTCCAAAAGCTGCGCATTCAGATCCCTATTACAAGGACACCCAAAAACGAAACCCGAATTTTGAGAACACCTCGGAGCACTATATGGTAACCGCAAAACTGTTTGCTGTCCCTGGTTAGGAAGCTCTGAGAATAGCCCCCTTGCAAATCCCAGAATAACAACCAATAACAACCTCTACGAAGCCTTTACACAGACCCGTCCGTGTTTTCAAGAACCCCCCGCATTCAGATGACACGCGCCTCGGAGCAGACCACAAAGTCCTCAGACCTCGATCCGAATTTAGGGTTCAGGGCTGTGGGTTTAGGGTTTTGGGTTTAGGGTTTCATTAGGGTTTAGGGGACCCTAATCCCCAAACCCCATAAACCCCTTACAGGGGTTTTCTTTCGTTTAAAGGGGGTACTGTCATGGGCTTCTTTCGGGTTCCTAGAGCGGCGACCACTTATATGAGGGGCCCTATAGAGACAAACGGATCTCACCATGTACAAGATGCACCAGGGGCCTTAATGTTTCGATTAGGGCATTAGGGTCCTTAACTGACAATGTAATCCGATTTTCTGGTAAAGCCTAAAGTAGGAGCCCGTCGTAAACATTGTAACAGGCCTGTACCGGGATGCCTGAATGGGGACGGGAGATGTGATACTCAGTTAGCTTAGGCTCTATGCTTCAGTGATTAGGTTCTAGAGTTTAAGCTTTGGGGTTTAGGCTGAGGGTCTAGATTTTGGGTTTGAGTTTCCAAGGCTTTAGTAGCTTCTTGTACGCCTGTCATGTGCAACCACTGCTTTAAGCGCTATTGTCGAGTTCCTTGCTTTTTGGTAGGCTGCTGTGGAAGCAGGTCCTCTACGGCGCGACGACTTTTGTAACACCCTAAACTCGAAGACAGCTCGTACAAGACTACGCTGCACTTGCAGAGCTGGCTCCACTCTGAATCCTCGAGGGTGTTGCAAACTTAAACCCAAACAACCCACAGCCCAACGCGCTCGAAGCCCGCTCATAGCGTTTAGAGGCTTTCGATGCCGAGAGATGCGAATCATAATGTCGTAGGCACGATCATTGAGGTTCGACTTCTAAACCACTGGGGTCTAAAGGCCTTATTGCTGACCGTGCCTGCCACCCTAAAGCCTAAACATCCCGCAGCCCTATGCCCTAAACATCCCTAAACCCTACACCCTCAACATCCTTCAACCCCAAACCCTAAAAGTCCCTCAACCCTAAACCCTAAATCCTAAACCACGCCCTAAATCCCAGACCCTAAAAGTCCCTAAGCCTTGAAAAATGACCTTGTTTTCCATTCGGGCTCCCGAGACGAGGATCCTGGCGAGACTGCTCACCACATGCGGCGCAAGGAAGACATCACATAATGCAACATAGTCTAATGAAACAATTATTGAGGCCCCTATACCCTAAACCCTAAACCCTAAACCCTATACCCTAAACCCTAAACCCTAAACCGCCTATATTATGAAGTTCGCCCCACGTCTTCCAAAGCTGTTTGGCTCCCGGGTTCCACGGGTTGGAGTTTGGGGGTTTAGGGGGTTTGGGGGTTTCGGGGGTTTGGGGGGTTTCGGGGGTTTGGGGGGTTTGGGGGGTTTTAGGGGTCTGGGGGTTTGTGGTTCAGGGTTTAGGGGTTTGTGGTTCAGGGTTTAGGGTGTAGGGTTGCTCATGCTTCGATGCTAATTCCATGTGAGACTACCGCCGTCACAATCTGACGAGTCTTGTGTCAACGAGTTGCCGATGGCATATCTGCGACGTCGTCGCCAGAAGCCGGCAAACTGAAGAGTGCTGATGGACTTGCAGACAAGCGGTTGCTCCATTGCAAAGACTGAGAAGATCATGCACGCGCACGTCCTGCACAGAAAAATATAGCAGCCTGATACTGCCTGACACTTCACTTAGAAGTGGGTTAGGCCGGTAGGAGTTAGCTAAACGAGGAACCCACGTAAGGAATACCAGAATACCATAGTACTGCGATTATGGAAGGCCCCTAAGCCCTTATAGTCACCCTTATGGCTTGCATAACCTTAACCCTAAACCCTCAACCCTAAACCCCTAAACCCTAAACCTTAGAAACCCCAAAAACCCTAAACCCTCAACCTTAGAAACCCTGAACCCGAAACCCTCTTGAAGTTTCATGGGAACCCTTTAGCTGCTAGTCAAGCCCCCAATCCTGCATCGAGACCAAGAGGTCCAGGGCAACTGTCCAAGCAGCTCCTTCAGCAGGGACTAGGGTTTGGGGGTTCCTTTATAGGGTTCCTTCAAGGGTTCTATAAGGGCTACTATCAGAGTTTAGGGTTTAGGGGCCTTAATCATTCGAGTAGGGTTTTGGGCTCCTTTATAGTATACCCCCCAAAATAGTAGTGGGAATTATTTAGGCTCCTACATTACGAGCAGGGTTTGGGGCTTAGGGTCTATGGGGTTCTAGGGCTTTCAAATTTAAGGGTTTAGGGCTTAGGGTTTAGGGTCTACAGGGGTTTCTAGGGTGTTTAAGTTTAAGGCTTGCTAGAAGTTTTGCGACAAGGGCAATCATGAGGCCTACTACTGCACAAGCAGCTCCTTCAGCACATGCCAAGAGCACGCTGCTCCAGCAAATGCTGTCAGGCTCTTCGGAAAGCCCGTGCATAGAGAAGAGAATCTCTATAGCCCGGGCCCAAGCCGAGCTTTTCTGACAGGCACTGATGGTGCTACTGCAGCTGATGCAATCAGGAGCCACCCGTTCCTGGGTTGCTGTTAAGGAATCAGGAACTTAACTTAAGTTACCATAGTGGTGATATTAAAAAAATTATGAGGCTTCCTGATCATCGTAACTTAACTTTAAGTTCCTTACCCTGAAACCTTTATAGGAACCCCAGACATATCGTAACTTAACTTAAGTTCCTTAAAAGCAACCCTGCACCCTAAACCCCTAAACCCTAAACCCCTACACCCCTAGACCCNNACCCCTAAACCCCTGAACCCTTAAGGGCAACCCAGGTTCGCAAAGCATGCGAGTCAGGAATTCGATCGCCAATGCCCAGCGACTGCACTTCTCGGCGCTGCTGATCGCCGCGTTCCAGCTGATCCTTAGGGGGGGGTTCGGGTTTGGGTGTGGGTTTAGGGTTTT